TTACTGAAATTTTACTTCTAATTGTATTTTCAGTTTTGAAGATAGTCCTAATATTAAATTTTTTACCTACTCGTTTAATTTCATCTGAAAGTCCCGGAATAAATGGAATGAAAAGGTTCGTAATAGGTTTATTTTGATTTTGTTTTGTGTGGGAATTCAATTTCGTTAAAACATTTTTTAATAAAAGAATTTGGATAATTATTGAAATTTAGAATTTCTTTTATAAATTGTTTTTGTTTGGAAAAATTAGATTGATTACAAATTATTTTTGCTCTATCATATAGAATTTTAACGATACCTTTTTTAACCATTATCGGGGGATTTGAATCGAAATTCAAATATCGGTTAGTATGAGTAGGTTTTAAATAAATTGTGTCGTTTTTGGGTGAAAAGGCCCCATGTTTGTCGGAAAAGAAGGAAAGCATCAGAAAACAATGGATTTTTTGCGCTTTCGATTGAAAACTTTTAGTTTTGTGATCGTTTTTTCAGAAAACCTTAATAATTTTCCAGAAAAAACTTATTTTCGTTTTTGTCCCAAATTTAACGCAGAAAAAGGTTTTTGTAAAATTCGTTCAGCAATAAATTTATCTTGTAATTTTTCGAGTCAAATACCTACAGACTGTCAGTCATTGTAAGTGAAACTCTATAAAATAGAGCGTTTTTGAATATAAAGTAAAGCAAAAAAAATCGATGAAAACTAAAAATCCACTATATAAACTTTCTGTTATATTCTGTTCGCTTTTTAATCAAAAATTAGTTGATTTTTGTCCTAAATTTGAAGCTGGAAAGAGATTTCAATACTTTTTACGAAACGACGAAGGAGGCGTGAGTTGTAATAAAATTTATTTTAAAATTTTTCGCTAAAAAAATCATTAGATTGTCAATATTTTTACGTGAAACATTAGAAAATGGAGCGATTAGAAGAAACAGTAACTGCTAAAACTGGAAAGTTTTTAAAAAACTAAAAATATCGTTATCGTTGTTCAAAAGTTAGAACTTGAAAGAAAAATGTTAAGATTCCCGTTTGAGGGAATACCTACACCTCCGTTAAGAGGAACATTAAGAAATGTATTTGAGCAAATTGCGTTTTTGAGTATAAAGTAAAGCACAAAAAAAATTTTCGGACCATTTCGCTACGTGTACTTACCTTTGACTTGCAAAATTTTACTGAAAAAGCACCAATTTGTTTACTTGGGAGTTACTAATCTATCGAGAAATCTAGAATGCGAATTTTTAAGAATTATTGAATTCATAGCGCTCAGGTAAAGCAGAATTTAATAAATTGATATCGCAATATTATGATTTTTATGTAATAATAAGCAATACTTTGCAATTGTGAGAAACAACTGAGGTGCAAATTATTTTTATTAATAAAACAATGAAAATTAAATTATTGGAGTTTATTACAAAAACTGAGTGTTTTTACTCTGCTGGAGCTTGATTCTGCCTAATCCAGTCCAAATAGGAAGTAATTCTGGCCATTGCTGAAGGCCAGCCCACTTCGCAACCAAAAGCGCTTCCAAACGAGACGACTCCAATCTGAAAAATATAAATTTTTGTAAGACTCACAAAATGTTCCAGCTGTTCATCAATCCGCCTTACCAAAACCCCATTAACAACCAGAGGGCCGCCAGAATCTCCATTACAAGTACCTCTTCCATGAGCGCCAGAAATGCAAATATGACTGTCCTGGACAATTCCTAAATATGCCATTCTGCAGGCATAGTTACTGATAACCCATGAAGTAACTTCTCTCAACACTGGGGAAATAGTGTTGATGCTATCTGAAGCACGTCCCCAACCAGACACTAAAGTAGTGTTCCCGAGGTAGTCATTGGAGGCATCTCTCGGGAGAAGAATCGGTATGATGCTTGCTAGAAAAAAAACGCGATTTCTCCTTGATTTTTGGTGACTCTAAAAGCTTTGAAAAACTGGACAATGTAGAGTTTTTTGAAAAAAAATGCGTAATTTGGATTGTTGCCAGTACTTCAATATACATATTTTAAGTCTCTTATAATCTAAATTTGTTCGCACTTCACAACTGACTTTCTCCCTCAGTTGGACTTATTGTTATCGATCACCGTACACGCATAACAAAAAATAATATTTACCCTGCTGATCAGTGAGATCAGATCGGAGAATTGATCTTTTGATTTGCATGTTTTTATTTGTGATCCTATCAACGGTTTAGTCCCGATACGAGTTTAACTCTCAATGATTTATAACGTTTTCTTATGGAATTCGTTTGAGGTCACATTATAAATCATTAGGTGAAATGAGATTACCAAACCTAAGTATTTAGCATTCACTGAAGTCATCATATTATATAGTCTAAAGGCTCGAATAATATGAATTTATTTTTTCTGATTAAAGCGTAGGTCCTGCTGATTTTACCTGTAAATCGATAATATTTCCTCGAATTGCAGCCTATTCATGTTTTGTCAACAAATATTTATATGTAGTATGTATTGAATTTGAATTGCTCAAAAATAATAGAAGTAAACGTGCAAGTTGAATCGAACTCCTACGGTTTGGATAGACAGCTACTTACCGCTTAAAGGTACTGCAACTTCGAACCTAACCAGAGCAATATCGTGTAGAAGAATGGACCGATTCCAGCCCTCATGAATAACTACATCCCCCGCAAATCTTGCAACTATATTTAAATCCCCACCCGGGGGCATGTTGTGGGCTCCCATGAAAATTGATAGATTACCCACGCGACTGAAAAATTGAAGAATTTTAAGAAGTACTAAAAAAATTGTAGGAAACTCACAGATCCACACAGTGGGCGGCAGTAACAACGGTGCGCGCATTGATGAGGGTTCCGCCACAAAATGAAATTCCTGCTGTTGTTACAGGAGTGTAGATTCCGACCTACAACTTACAGAAGTTTTGAATGTTCCAGGCAGGACAAATAATAATAAAAAAGTTATACCTGATACTGTCTGGAATGGGGCGTTGACTCAACACCACCAACTATAAATGGGTCTACATGCTCGTAAGGACCTGGAATACTTGGGTGAAGCTTGCGGAATTCCGGATCTAACTCCAAGTGTCCTGGAATTGCCTTTGCAAGCTGATCTGCCGTCTAAGATGCATTAAAATTTATTCGAAAGTCAAGAGAAATTAATTTTTTATTCAAAATGTGCCAGTAAGGCTGCTAGAATGTCTTACCAGCAATTCACAAGTGGCAGCTGAAACCAACACCGCTAAACATATCACGGAAGCTGAAGCCATATTTGCACACTAATCCATGTCTTTATCTGCAGCTCCTTTTTATAGTTATGCCTTTAATCCCATACGTATTCCTTATCTTACAGCTGTACCATACATGATGTCTCCTAATTTACGGCAGGTGATAATTTTGAAGACAAGAGCTTGCAATAGCTATCAGAAAACACATATTTTTCCTTATCAACAACTTGTATTTTATAACTTCGACAATAGAACGTTATGTTAAAAACGAACAATTATATCTATTCTTCTGGTGCTTGGTTCTGACTAATCCAGTCCAAATAGTAAGAGACTCTGGTCATTGCTGAGGGCCAACCCACTTCACAACCAAAAGCGCTACCAAAAGATACGACTCCAACCTGAAAAAACATAGTTCTAACGAAGTTGTTTAAAACCTCCTAGAGTCTCACCAAAACTCCATTAGCAACCAATGGACCACCAGAGTCGCCATTGCAAGTGCCCCTTCCTTGACCTCCAGAAATGCAAATATGACTTTCTTCTATAATGCCTGTATATGCCAGTCTGCAGGCATAGTTGCTGATAACTGACGAAGTTACTTCTCGCAGCACTGGAGAAATCGCGTTATTGCTGTCGGAGGAACGTCCCCAACCAGTCACCAAGCCGATGTTTCCGAGGTAGTCATTGGTGGCATCTCTTGGAAGGAGCACTGGTGTAATACTTGCTGTATAAAAAAACATTGTTGAATTAAATGTTTCAGTTAAATCTATGCTGTGCTCTATAATGTTAGTAAAAGTGTTAATTGTTGGATACAAATAAGTAAGTTTCATTTTTACAGCGCCTACAAAGTACAAAGCCACAAATAGAAAAAATGGTGTGCGACACGGGATGCTCGACAGAAGTGATAACTTCATAGATTAATAGAAACCATAAAATATTGAACTTGTTTAACGCATGATGGCAATAATAATTTTATTTTATAATTTTAATATTCTTGTTAGTCGAATAATTTATAAATGGATCAGGAATAAGTAAAATTTAATTTAATTTCCTTTTGAATGTAAAATATCTTTGTTATTTGCAACATTTAACATTCTTTAACGAGATGTTGTACATACATTTGTGTAAACTCTTCTCCTTGAATTTCTGTATTTTGTAATTTCTTATTTGCTTTGTATAATCTTTGACGTTCAGCAGTAGTTTGTGGTTGATAAAAGCTACTTTGAGTTGATCTATTACTTAATGCTCCTTTTTTAGCACGAAATCGTTTTTGGGGTTCAGCATTACTTACTACTAACATTACTATAATACTTTTCGCATTATGGCATGTTTTTGTGACTGCTCTTGTGTATGTTGTTCATGAACGTCTGCTACAACTTGTATCTGAATAGGACTAAAAAATCAATTAATTTTGGTAATTTGAAGACGTTCTATCTGTTTAAAATAGACTGTAAAACAAGCAAGCTATAGAGACAGGATACACTTGACACACTATACATAATGTATGCCATCGCGCGCATGTTCACAAAAAAGATTCTAACTCAACTAATCCAAGGCTAAAAAAATTAAACTAAATTGAAAAGATTTAATCATAAAGGAATCAAAGGGTATATGAAGGGAAAAAATCCATTTTGATGCCTGGTAAACACAATTAATCATAGAAATAATATATAGAATTGAAAATATGCCCTAATAAATTCGTTTTACATATTTTGCAACTATAAACTGAAGGGAGATTCGTATCGTCTTAACATCAAGAATGCGTTGCGGGATAGAAAATA